GTCCCTAGTGTTAACCCCCATGACCCTTATTGTGTGCTGGAGTTTATGTGTCACCATTGTGCCCTCTGATGGGCCGCATAATAGATGCGTTGGCCAACGCGAGAGCTAAATCAGGGTATGACAGGCGTTATTTAGGTTGCGTTCCCATAATAACATGTGGGCGTCGTGGCACGCGTATGTGCAGGCTTACGCCGCACCAGCTACCTGTGACTGCCCCCTGTCCGATCAGGCCACAATAGGGTGTAATACTGTGGATTTATCATATGCGGCCGTTTCTACCAAAGGTCTTCTTGACGCTACCTTGGCACCAGGCACATGTGGCTGAAGGAAGAATGCAGCAGGTGCATTGCAAGTGAACTATCAATTACAACTAACTCACGCGATGGACACCGTCGAGTGCCACGGTCGAGCTGTCCTGTCTCACCAGAGTAATGCGCCACCGGAACTGTACAACCTCCATTTTCTGCAGTTCTCTCTCTCTCTTCATGTTGAAAGGCTTTCCACTAAAATTCGTCAGCTTCTTTATTATATCCGTCGTTTTCGTTCCTATCCTACACTTCGAGCACTAATCCGGTGATATGTAGATGCATACATTCTCTACTCTCCTTTAGTTATTTTTCTAATTATGCTTTAAAAAGACTTGTTGATCTCTGAACGTATCCTCTGAATGCTCCTTCCGTTTTGGTTTTGGAGACAGCGGTTGGCCGAACTCCGGTTCGTTTTAATTACAAGTACCTGGTGCGGGTCATACAAAATACAACGGTCAGGCAGTTTGCTGATCGAATGCTTGATGTTGTTGAACGTCCCCTCTACTCTGACTGCGAAGTCCTCCCGTCCCATGCGCCGAGGCCTCTGACATGTGTCTTGCGGTATATCGGCATAACAGATATGTGTGTTGCCATTTATAGCACACTGCCTTTTATGTAAGGATGTTGAAATACAGAAAGTGATATTATAGGCATAATGACATTACCGACAAAAACAAGAGAGACCACAAGGACCATTTCTGGCATATTAGTCGTCATCAACCAACCGTACCTAATCCAAGGTAGAATCACCTAGGATTCGGACGCGTGACCTTGTCAGTTAGAAGTCAAACGCAGTAACCACTACCCCACGGGCTCGTTGCCTCGTCACTTCGAACTATTTCCGTAATAGCTATGCATTTTATGCAAACCT